AAGAAGATATAGAAGGAAGGAGGAACTTATAAAGTAAGACTATAGGTTTTAGGATAAAACTAATAGAGAGGAGGAATAATATTATAGATATACTAAAGTACTATAAATAAAGGGTAAGGCGGCCTAAGAAAGTAACTATAGGGCGCTTATGCGCTTATAGGGGCGTAAGAATAAAGGAACTAGTTATATAACTAGATCACTAGGGATTATAGTAATCTAGTGTTAATCTAGGATCACTAGGATTATAAAGTGAGCTAAGTAATCTAAGTAATATAGTAGAGGATAGGATGGATATATAAGGAAAGGGATTTCTAGTAGATAGGTAGACTAGATCTCTACTAATTAATCTAAGTAATAGTTCTACTATTAGGAGAAATCTCCTAATATAACTTATATAATAATATCTACTTATATACATACTAAGTGTGTACTTATCTAACTCTCTACCTAAGAAACAGACCTACTATGGATTAAGAATAAGCCACCGTTATAGTTTAATACTATAAATAAAAAAAAGCCTAAGACTTACTATAACTATAGTAAGAAGGGCCCTAACGCAGGCTGAGCCGTTTGCGATGTATAACGTGGCTTATAGTCGACTGTCCTAGGGCTTTCGTATAAGTTCGGAGAGCCTCTTTAGAGCTACCCGGCTTACGATTACTCTGAAATTGCATCATCTCCTCAAGAGAATGGAGAACTCTCATAAACTGCACGTAGGCAAACCGTCGTTGCCAATAATGTTCAGTGTTGCATATAATGTCCTCAATCGTCGCAAGAGCAGCCAAACTTAGTGGGGAGTGGCCAAAAATAGCTTGTACCTGCTAAGTACCTGTTTGCTTGCTTTTCAACAGGGCTTACAGTACATAACGGCCAGTTGCCGCTTAATGCTCTACTAAATATTTCACCCAAGCCATCGTTACGCATAGTACTAAGGCTCTGAAGGCACGAAAAGGCGTCTTTCTCTGGAGATATGTAGCTTGAATCGCTGTCTCAGAGCACCTTCCCCAATTGTTAACAGGCGCCTTGGCTAGTCAGGCACCGTTATGCATCTCAGCCCTAGTGCACCCATATTTAGTGGGAATTGCCCCCGGATTTAGTGGCAATCTCGCATGCGTTCCTAGATCTCTGGGTTGATAGTCTGAGCATCCACACTGTTAAAAACTAAATACTTTTTAGTTTAATTTCCACCATTTTACTCTAGTTTTTCTGGTTCTAGGCAAAATCATCGCATATTTATGGCGATTTGGGTACGAGACGATGAGTTAACTATGGAAACTCATAGAAATCGATGGAAGCTAGCGTAGAGGCCACGGTGTCCACATTGTCGCTGGCTGGGTCGGTCGCTGGCTGGGTCGGTCGGTCGGTGGTAGTGCGCCCACTCGGTGATACGCTTCCTTGCTTGCTTCATCAGTGTTGCTGCCGGTATATGTTGTGCGAGACCAGATGGATATAGAAGGATTTGATTTTAAGAATTTTGACGATGATTACGATCTTCGAACCCCCGGAAGAACCAGAAGTCCCAGCGTAAATACCCCCACCGAGGAGCCTAACCGAGCCAACACTGACTCCCACGGCTGCGACTGAATGACTGGGAGGCCGACAGGCAATATGACAGAAGTAACCCAATCTGTATCCATTACGATTTCGTATTCCCTCCGTGAAAATATTAGACGACGGCCGATTACCGGAAACGATCAGCCGGATGATCTTGTCCTTGCTCCGAGTGTTTGTTTTCTGGAAGGAAATATTCCAAGCACAGCTTGAGAATACCATAGCGAGTGACGAGAGACTTCCAGGACGACAATATACGTGCGAAGAGACTATCGTCGCTATATCGATCGAGAATACACGCGGCCGTGGCCTGAAAGACAAGGTGTCAGGCCACAACATTAGATGGAGCGTTGTTGACCAGCACCTCGAAAGTCTTGCTACTCTGTCGGACGACTGCACTTGTAGAAACTTTAACATCGAATTTGTCCAGCAGCATCTGTACCATCTCTTCTATATGTAACTCGGGATCGTCGGTCAGTTGGTCACATAAGTATTTCTTCATTTCGGGCGTTATTCGGCTGCGCCGCCCGGCGCGGGTTTTTGTTGCGGCATTTCGCTTCTAGGCAGTTTGCGATGCTGTTCGAAACGCTGGACGGTTCGAGCGCTGCATAGATTCGCAGAGACAATATCTTGAGTCGAGAAAGTCATATATAGCCTCTGACGGGAGCACATCATCCGGGAATACTGCGTGGGCCATGGCGAAAGTTAAGGTGGTTAATGATAGTACTGTTGTGTCACTTGTGTGTGGAAGGGGGGTGCGGGAAAGTTAGTCAGCAGGGCGCGGCATTCTAAATCCGCGCCCGGGCGCGAATGTAGGGGCCGCCCTCAGATAACTCAATCTACAGTTTTTAACCCTAAGTAAGGTAATAATTAGAATTATATTGAAGATATCTATCGAACTAAAAGATAGTATCTAAGGGAGTGTAACCTGGTGACATTATAATACTGTAGTCGACTTTCTGCGCAGAATAGCCAACTTCCTAGCGTGATCAGCGCTGCCCTCAAATCAAACAAATCAAATCCGGACCTATATTTGTTTATTTAAAAAATTTTCGAGCGATACTTGTTTGTTTAGAATATTTGATCAAATATATATTAAATGCTGGATAGATTGGCTACGTTATAAACGCCGTCGCTCACCCCGCGACTCCAACGCGCGGACCCCAACTGCACTGCCCCGTGCCTGGTCCAGTTCTTAAGACACTGTAGCGCCTCCAGTGTCGTTGAGCTCATTGAAAGCCTCTGTGATGTTAATGATAATTTAGCAAGGCTGAACGATCTTTCGCAGTCTGTAGCGAGAAGGGTAAATCGGCATTAACGATGAAGCCTACGCTGAGCTCCCGTACGATATTGATCCTAGCTTTTAGCACAGCGCTCTAGTGTAGACGCGGTCGTTTGGCCCGCTTAGATTCGTCAGTCGATAGGTCGCTGTCTTTAACGGGGCTGCCCTTAAAAACTCTATGTGTTCTTTGTCTATTAGCTGTCGTGTCGTCGTGTATAAAAATAACGCTAAACATACTTACGAAGGTGATTAGTAGCGGATGTAGTGGCGCTCGCTACGAAGGACACTGCCTGGCCCTTTGCGTCGTAAAGACGGCAAACCCAGGACGAATTCAGCGGGCTGTTATTACTATTAAGCTCAATAACGAATAACCTATAGAGTTTAATCCAGCTCTTCCTGCCCTTAGAGCCTTTCCACAATAAAGACTCCTTTAAGACATATCGCTTATCCCACCATACGGCTAGCGGCAGGTCCCTAATTGTCGTATTATTAGGTACTTTACGATAGAGCCTAATTTAAATTAGCTAGATAAGTTTTTAAGGAACTTTAAAAAGTGAAAACGCAGACAGCACTAGTGAGGTGTCCACTTTATAGCACTAGCATCTATTGTGTTAATAGTGATAATTCGGATTAGTAAACACGCACCTCCAGACCGCGTTTACTAAAGACGTAACGCGACATAATGAATACTAAAGAGATACTTAAATTTTATGAGTCTATTAGCGGTAATTTTATGTACCTTTCTATCAACCAAGCTAATGTCCAGGGTAGGGTTGCTTTCTACGCCCTCCTATACGGGTAGAGGCTGAACTAAAAAAGAGTTGAATTAAATGTATTAAACGTAAATTAAATCGGAAATTATGTATTTATTTGTTTAATACGATTTTAGCATTGATTTGTTTGATTTGCTTGGCAGTTTGTTTGATGTGATTTGATTTGAGGGCGGCGCTGAGCGTGATCTTATCTATCCTTCGTGCACAAGGATAGGGTGCGGCCGCCGCTAGGTACTCAGGACAGGATTGATTTTGCTCAGCACTTGTCTCCTTGGACAATGGTGCTCCAGTCCCCATCCTCATGGTTACGGCCGGAGGTCTGGCTCGAGCCAGGGTCACAGACATCAGTAATGCGCTGAGCGCTGTTACCAATCCAGTCCCAGCCATCAAGACTCTTCTGGGAAGTAGACTGTAGACAGTATTAGCCAGTTCCCGTCTCTAGTGAGAGCGCGGGTATGATGGGAATAAGGAGGGTGGACGAATTGTGGGAGAAAAGGGGTAAGAGAAGACGGAGGACGATGCCAAACTTACATCATTGCACCACCAGATACCAGAGTTGTAAGAACAACTAACGCGACCACAGTTGTTGGGGCCAGGTCCGTTGGTAGGGCGCCCAGGCGGCAGGTTACGGAGGTAAGCCGCACCGTTTCTGATGGCATTCTTATTAGCAGGCTGCAGGCCGCCGCAGTCGACATGACCACGCTTTTCCTTCAAACCCCTGGCCACCGAGGCACTGGGAGGCTTGAAGTTGGGGTTGATGGAGAGGGTTTGAGCATGCACCTCTTCAGCAGTGCCAGTGAAGAGCTGGAATTCGCCGGGGAAGACCTCGACGCTCCATTCAATCTGCTCCACTCCATATCCAGGAATGGGAGCACGAGTAACAACGAGATATTCCGCCATATTAGTGAGAGCATTTTGTATGGAGGAGAGCAAGTCAGTGAGCCTACCGCGTTAGCAGCGCTGGCCGCAAGGACAACGAGGGGCGAGAAACGCATGATGAAGAGACGAGTAAAAGTAGAAGTGATGAGTGTTTAGATTGTAGAAGGGTCTGGTATATTTGATGATGTTCTTTGATAAAGAGAGTAGAGAAAAGGAGACTTTGGAAGGGAGAAGTAGCCCTACTTATACTTATCCTGTCTATGCGAGCTAGAGCTGGACGAGTTGTATGTCAGGTCATGCTATCCCATCACCGAGTCACTGGACCAATCCAGTATATTGCAGGTAGACTAGCATTGGCTGAGCTGACTTCTCACATGTCTTCCTGCATGTCTTCCACCTGCATCCTGCGTTATCTATCCGCCGCATATTCTGCGTCTAGGCAGCCTTGTTGGCTGGCCATGGAAGAAGTTGCAGTGGAGCAAGCTTTCGCGGAGCGAGAGGAGGGGAAGCCTTGGTAAACAAACATGAGAAAAGTAAATGCGTTCAGGGGTTAGTCTCAGAGAAGTTCCTTGTGAGAAAAATATTCCTTTGTAATGGTACTGGAGCGAGATCCTTTTACAAAAAGAGTGCTGCTTGAGGAGCTTCCAGTGAGGCAATACGCCAGGCAAGCACATAAAATACCCCGCAGCGAACTGGAATATGTCTGAGACGCATTGCATTATCGGATCCCTGTTTACTACGTTGCACAAAGCTGACCTGCATCTCAGCATGGCTAGGGTTTTGATAGTACAAGGTCAACTCACTCGGTTAGTGACCTCGCCACTGGGTGGAAGACGAATGTTTTATACCTATGTCAGATAACTCTCTGCCGCTAAAATCTAACCCTTGTCGAGGCCGGGGTAGTTTGTACTGGATTTTGGTGAGAGAGCCTTACTGACACGCACACCCCCGAGTAGGTGCCAGCCCGGGCTGCAAAACTTACCCATCACACCAAGTACCCCAAAGTGCACGGCTGCAGATGACAGCTCCTGTATCGAAAGAATAACAACTACACAAAGCCAGTAGTAAGTTTGATGATCTTTGCGGGCAGCAGGAAATATGTACATATAGCCTTGAGTAGTCTTGGCAAGTCGCATCACCGCATAGTAGCGGAGGGTGGGTCAGCGGGCTAGGCCATCCGGAGCCCCGATTGATGAGCGAAATTGGCAAGCCGGCAAGGGGTGGGGGCAGCTCACCGAGGGGACCGCGACTGCTGGCAACCCTGGGTGCCTGGGTTGTACCCAGTACGTTGCCAATTGCGCTGGGAGGCAGAGAGGGTGCGCGCGCACATCGGGGCCCCCGCCTCGAGAAGTAGAGTGACGCTTTGCATGCATGCACCTGGCACATGTGCGCCCCGAATCTATAAAAATGGAGAGAATGACGCATGCAGATGGCAGTTTTATGTAGTATGCAGCCCTGCCATCTGTAGCTGGCCAAATGGCTCGGCGGGATGCGGCCAAGCAAACCAAGGCGGGATGTGCATCTTGGTCTGGCGGGCCGGCCTACATGCCCACAGAAGCAGCAACACAGCCCCCAACAAGCAAGGCGTTCCTTCTAGGATCCTGCTAGTTACATGCTGTCTGCACGTGCGTGGGTTGTTACGATCTAATGGTGGATGGATGTTGGGGGCGCGCCCCCCTGACGAAGGTGGCTAATGGTGTCTGAGAGTAGACACACGTCTTATTTCCCGAAAGAAGAAGACGTATCATGTAGGGTTTGTCTCGACACCGTAAACGAACGACAGCGCAGCGCTGGGTCAAGGAGTTGACAGAGTCGAGGAGTGAATTTTAGCATTAATGTAGTTGGGGGTTCAGCCCAGTATCGGCCCGCCTGCCAGGAGTTAGTACGACGGAGCATGGTGATGGCTAGCGCACGGAAATAACCAGCGAGCTAGTGAAAGTGTTTGTGCGAGTGCTAGTGCTGGCGAGACCCAAAAAGCGCTAATAAGATGGATACTCGGCTAAGTGTACCGAGGAGAGCTAGGGCCAATTCACTAGCGTATAGCTACACCTGTACTGTATCTGTAAGCCCCCCTATTCTCTTGTCAGCACTCTCGACAACACACTTGGAAGCTGGCTGGCTGGCTTTATTAAACCCTAAAAACCTCTACTAATTCTGCACATATCTGGAAGCGTGTGGCTAGTACTCTGAAAAAAAAAAAGAAAAAAAAAGACCCAAATTGCGGGGAAAGGCTCGGCGATGTGTCACGATGGTGGTTGTCTCCCATCGTGGTTGGGTGCTGGGCTGCAATTTCCAAAGCAATCTGTAATCCCTGGAACAGCGCTGATGGATCCGTAGGTACTATTTGCTGGTAATCTGTATTAATAGTGCCAACAACTAGTTACTCCGCACACTTTATTACACAGCGCAACGGCTTGCTAGCCTTACGCTCAATTTGGCCAATCACATCGCCTACCCGGGTAACCATGTACGGATATCCGTAGGTAAATACAAGGCAGGCTCTTGTGTAACGCCAACTCGGCTGGCCTGGCATTTCCTTTGCCCTTTTTTTTTTCTCTCTCGTTCTCGTCCCTGCTTGAAAGGCCTCAGCTGTCGACACGAATGGCCACCGCACAACTCACCCAAACATGCTCAATCTGCTCGGCATTGCGCGCATATCTATGCCTAGCCGCAGGCGAGTCATGCCGGTGCTCCTTCTGCTGATTTTCACCGGCTTCTACATTCATTCCTGGGCTGTTGCCAGTGTGCCGTATCCTGGCCTCACCAAGCTCCCCGTCCACGCAACGCCCGATACGCACCCCATCACCGAACTGATCTCGAACGCAACTGCACACTTTGAGAATCTACTTAAAGAACAATCTTTCACACTCCATGATGCTGCAGAGCGATACCGACAGCGGCGCGGTCGACACCCTCCCCCGGGATTTGACACATGGTTCAAACAGGCTATGAAAGATGACGCCATCGTGGTGGAAAGCTTTTTCGACAGAATACACCACGACATCAATCCACTTTGGGCATTGAACCCTCGGGAAATGCGCATGCAGGCCGCCTCGCAGCCGCAGGTCATCAAGATTCGCAACAAGAAGGTCTTCATGGTCACCGACCGCCCCGGCCGACAGCCATGGATCCAACACTGGACAGCCCTAGTTAAAAAAATGATGCCCAACTTGCCCGACTTAGACATGGCTGTCAACGTCATGGATGAAACACGCATCTTGACGCCGTGGTCAACCATCAGCAAATACATGGAGCTTGAGCAGCAGCGTCGAGAGCTCATTGCGCCGGAACTCGCCCTGAGCAAGTACTCGTTTGGCCAGCGTCGTTCCCCGGTACATGATTCCAACCGTCGTCGTCATAGTGTCCCATATACCACTCAATCTCTCCGGCAAAACTGATCGCAGAAAGCTGCGCGAAATTCTCTTCCAGATGACGGCTTCGGAGGAAGCTGCATGTCTGGGATCCGTTGCCAGCCACGAGGCCCCGTGCACACCCCAAGAACTGCAGCTCCGTTCGCTCTGGTCGCAGGTGCTAAACACTGCTGAATCGAGCATCGGAAGATTCGAGGACTTTTTCCGACGGGGAGGCGACTCGCTGGCGGCGATGAGGCTGGCCTCAGCCGCGCATGGCCTCGGTCTTAGTCTGACCTTTGGGGACATTTTTGCGAATCCAGTACTGTCAAGTCAGGCAAAGCTGATTGGCTCCACGGAGGGAAACACGCAACAGAGTTACACATGCTCGGCGTTTGAATTGATTACAGAGAGCCAAAAGCAAGCTGTTCTCGCAACAGCAGCTAAGGAGTACGCTTTACCGGCGACTCAGATTGAGGACATCTATCCAACTACACCAATGCAACAGGGCCTTGTCGCTCTCAACTCCCTACGGCCAGGCTCGTATGTGTCACGACGTGTCTACAAGCTTAGAGAGGGCGTTAGCTTTCGAAAGCTCGAAGCAGCTTGGAAAGCCACCTTGGACGCGAACCCCGCCTTGAGAACCCGTGTCATACGATCTGTTGGTGACGGCCCAACGTATCAAGTCGTGGTTCGCGACGAGGCGGTTGTTGACATGGCCTATGACTTGACCAAATATCTGGCGGACGACGAGGCAAAGCCGGTAAATCTGGGTACGCCGCTCGTACGAATGGCGATCATATCCAACGCCAGCGGAGAGCCAAACTTTTGCGTCGTTACCATGCATCACTGCATATACGATGCCTGGTCAGCGGCTATCCTGAAGACCCAAGTGAGCGACACGTATCATGGCCACGTTCCAGTCCTTCAAACATTTAGGGAGTTTGTCAAATATGTACTCCAATCTAATAAAAATTCATCCGATCATTGGAGAAGTGAGTTTGCTGGGATACGCGCCGAACAGTTTCCAGCTCTGCCAACGCCCACACATTCCCCAAATACCACGGAATCCGAAAGCCAGCATATATGCCTCCCTCCAAGTGTTGCAACGGCAGCAAATATAACACTCACCACGCGCATACAGCTAGCGTGGGCAATGACTCTAATGGCTTACACCAGCGTGAATGATGTAGTGTTTGGCTTGACGGTTTCTGGCAGGGCAGCGCCCGTGCCGGGGATTGACAAGATTGCTGGTCCCACGATTGCAACATTTCCCTTGAGGGTTCAGTTGAGGTCCTCTTCATCAATTCACGAGGAGCTGGAGACGCTGCAGAAACGTATCATAGAGATGATACAATTTGAACAGTTTGGGGTACAGAACATCAGTCGCCTTGGAGACGACGCGGCCAAGGCGTGCAAGTTCCAAAGCCTCCTCGTCATTCAACAGCGTCAATCATCAGCCGAAAAATCTGGCATCTTCGGTGATACTGGTGCTTTTACGCCCCAGCCAATGTGGAATACATACGCATTGACGATTCTGTCAACCCCCGGCGCCGATAGATGCGTCCGTTTCGAGGCTGTTTACGATGCCACGGTGGTGCCCAAGGCCCAAATGAGACGGATTCTACAAGTTTTTGGCAATGTCTTGAAGCAGACAGTACTGTCGCCGGATAAATTGGTGGGCGACATGGACAGTATCAGCACAGATGACTTGCAGCAAATCGAGTGCTGGAACTCTTCAGCGCCTCCAGCCGTTCCGAGGTGCATCCATGACATGATTCACGACCATTGCGTAGCGCAGCCAGAAGCTAGCGCGATTGACGCATGGGATGGTCAGTTTACCTACAAGCAGCTCGACGATCAGTCGTCACTGTTTTCAGCCGTTCTTAGAGAGAAACGACTGGGTCCAGACATGATGGTTCCTCTTTGCTTTGAAAAGTCGAAATGGGTCGCTGTTGCCATCTTGGCAGTCGCCAAAGCCGGTAGCGCGTTCATACTGTTGGACCCTTCACACCCAACCGAACGGCTGGCGTGGATTTGCAAGAATGCGCAAGCATCAGTGTTGCTATGTTCCAAGGATATGGCTGCGTTGGCGGCGAAGCTCGGCTGTCAACACGTCGTCCAGGTCGATGAGAACAGCAGTCGAGAAAACCAAGCCTCGCTAACTACTCAAGTGCATCATCCCATCCAAGCACTCCCTAGTAATGCCCTATGTGCGCTGTATACCTCGGGGTCAACGGGAACGCCGAAAGGCGTCGTTATCGAGCATTCAGCCTTCGCCACCCAAGTTACCGCGCTTGGACTGCACTTCCATCTGGGTCGCCAGTCACGTATTTTTCAGTTTGCATCCCATGCATTCGACGTCACCGCTGCCGATTATGTGTTTGGACTGGCCCTTGGCGGCTGCGTATGCGTCCCGAATGAAGCGGACAGCCGGGACAACCTAGCCAAAGCCATACGAGATCGTAGAGCAAACTGGACTTTTCTGACACCTTCGGTCGCCCGAACTCTAACACCCTCCGCTGTACCAGATCTCAACACCTTGGTGATTGGTGGCGAGTCTGCAAAGGGAATAGACTTTACGGTTTGGTCAGGCGCCGTGCGGCTCGTCTACGTATATGGTCCTGCTGAGGGGACGGTCTACTGCACTGTGCAGCCCAAGACTCAACCGGGTGCCAATCCGGTGAATATCGGATCGGCAGCTTCTTCCGCATGCTGGCTGGTAGAGCCTGCCAACCCAGAGAAGCTGGTTGCCATTGGGGCGGTTGGCGAGTTGGTGATTGAGGGCCCGATTGTCGGCCGCGGGTACATGGGAGAGGATCTGGGCGGCTCGCCTTTCATTCCGCCGCCAAAGTGGTTGCGTGCCATGCCACGAAGTGAGTCACCAGGCAGGCTATACAGAACTGGAGACTTGATGCGGTACAGTCCAGACGGCGACGGATCGCTAGAGTTTGTTGGTCGGAAGGACAGGCAGGTCAAACTTCGCGGGCAGAGAATGGAGCTTGCGGAGATTGAACATCAAGTTGCGCGGCATTTTCCTGCCACAACGGATGCCATTGTGGAAATCATTGCCCCCGAGAACTCAGACAGTCAGAGGTTACTTGCTGCTTTTATCTGGGATGCCAGCAATGTTGCAGGGAAACGCTCCAGTAACAACCAAGGCACGCTGTCCACGTCTGCCATGTTCGCCGTCCCAGATGAAGAGTTTCAATCTCGGGCATCGATCGCGGAAGTGGCGCTACGGAAGAGCCTACCTCCTTTCATGATCCCTTCGTTATTTGTTCCCCTCAAGCAATTCCCCCTCGGTCCTACCGGCAAAGTAGACCGGCGTCTTATCAAGGACAAGGCGTGCTCACTTTTGCGACGGGAGCTCAACATCTACCGTGGCTTCTGTTCATCTAGAATGAGGCCCCCTTCCAATACGTCAGAAAGTAAAATACACCAGCTGGTTGCAGATGTGCTTGGTCGGGATCGCGGCGACATTGGGATGAACGACGACTTTTTCCAGCTTGGTGGTGACTCGATTAGTGCCATGGTTCTGTCGGCACGGGCTATGGACATGGATCTGAAGTTGTCGGCCGCAGATATTCTAGGCCATCCTCGTCTTTGTGATATGGCCGACCTGGCTATTCAGAAGAGCACGGAGAGATGCTTGCCCACAGAGCAGCTATCGCTACCAGAGCCGTTCTCGTTGCTTCCCGCAAACTATCATCATAACACCTTGATGCAAGAAGTTGTGAAAGGCCGCTAGTAAGTTGATTCAACTATCTAGTTCCTATGCTGTTTTCTATCAAGATGAAGAGGAAAGAAAGTGAATCAACTTTATGAGAGCATAACAGCACTTCTATAGCTTCGATCAATGGAAGGTTCTAGAAGCTCGGCGGCACAGCCGCCGCTCAAGCGGCTTGCCCGTTACAGTACAACAGCCTGCAAGACATGGATAGTCAAAACCTGCAAGCATTCGACCCTGGTTGGATATCGGGCCAGGCACCCTCCTACTGGAATTACTTCCGCGAAACCTGTCCAGTCGACAGTCCCGGCCGGAATATTAGCGCTCTCGAGTCGTTCAACGTGCCCGTCGAGTACCCAAGCAAGCAGATGCCCTACGCCCACCACGGCTTCATCCAAAATTTTACCCAGGCCCAAGACCCGTGCCTACAGCCGCACATGCGCAGCCTCCATGGCACTTTTGTCGAGAGTGTGAGCATGTCCACCACACAGACCCTGTTCCCGCTCTTTGCCGGCTCCAAGCTGCCCACCAATAACGAGATCCTCATCCCCGGCGCCATGTACCTCTCCTCGCGTGCCTTTTACAGCGGCGGCCGGAGCAGTGGCGGAAAATGGTCCGGCAAGACGGACGCCCTTATTTGGCGCGGGACCGCCTCGGGCGGCCGCAACAAGGTCGACAACTGGTGGCACTTTCACCGCCACCGCTGGGTGCAACTTATGAACGGCACCACGGTCGCGCGCGTCGAGGCCGGCGATGCCGCCGCCGCCCCAACCTTTGACCTGCTCTCGGCCTCCAACTACAGCCTCCCCCACACCATGGACGGCCGCATCGGCACGTGGCTCACTAAATTCTCCAACGTGGCCTTTGTCCACCTCGAGTGCTTCCCCGAGCCGCCCAAGGAACACGAAGGCACCTGCTCGTACACGGGGGAGCACTTGGGTATCGCCAAGCCCATGCCCATGAAGCAGCAGTACCGGTACAAGTACCTGCCCGATGTCGACGGCAACTCGTTCAGCGGCCGATGGCGGGCGTTCCTCAAGTCGACGAGCGTGCCGCTCAAGGCCACAATTTACGCCGAGTGGCATGACGACCGCATGGTGCCGTGGGTGCACTTTGTGCCGTTTGACGCGTCGTACAAGGATATTTACGCCGTCATGGAGTATTTCCTCGACGGCCGTGACGAGCAGGCTGAGGTCATTGCGACGGAAAGTAGTAACTGGGCAAATGCAGTGTATCGGGACGAGGATATGAAGCTCTATGTCTGGAGGCTATTGCTGGAGTATGCGCGCGTGGTGGACGATAACCGCCAACGTCTTGCGTTTGTGGATGATTTACGAAAAACGGAGTGACGGAGATGAATGGTAGTGCGCAATGCTTATGGCGGGTTGCTGTCAAGATTCTGGCTCATGGAAGTTTTTAGGTCCATCTCGGAACAACCGAGCCCATCCGCTGAGCTTCAGAGAAGGGCATACAGATGTTCTTTCGCCGACCGTCGTCGATGCGACGACCAAGTCACATAACTTGGAGCTCGAGCTAATCCACCAAGAAATTAGTGAAATCCTACCTTTGAGCGTGTCAGCATATACTCCCATGCCCGGAGACAAGCTCGCGTATCAAGGAATTAGGAAAGATAGCCGCTATCGTTTTAAGATGCCTCCTTACTGTATTACTAACGTTAAAAGGACTAAAAATTTCGTGTTTTAAGTATATTAAGAGGACCAAAACCATCTACCTCAACAAATTCGTCGACCGCAACGACAAATTGCTTAGGACTGCATTTAAGTATACAATGAAATGTCCAGTAAAATATTGTCCCTCTTCTTAGGTGTAATCATTGTCTCTCTACCATGACTAATAGCAAGGCAACCCAGAAATCATTAGTACAGAATGCACTGTCCATCTGGGCAGCTACAAGGCTAACTGAACATACGTGGTACCTGCACGGCAGTCAGACTCTTAGAATTAACCCATCAATTCCACGAAATGATCCATAGAGCGGATTTATGCCCGTTACTCCCATAATGGATCAGCAGCTGGATCAGGTAGTAATTAGGGAGTACCTAATGCCTCGCAAGGCTCAACTGCTGGATAGAATTTCCAAGATGATGGCCAATAAGAAAGAGAAAATTTAAATGCTGGTTCGAGATTGTCCTGGCGGTCATGGTGTTACTTAACAATTCCTAGATGCAGCTGAAAAATGCTCGCGCATTTTCTGCTCAATACGGATTATCTGTAAGTCAATAGCTATAACGACATCCTCCCTACCTACCCACCCATACTGATGCCTCCATTTATAAATCGAAGTGTCGATATGGACAGAAAGGTAACTGTCAAAATGCCGAAGCACAAATTCATGCCGGTCGCACATCACTTGGGCATTTTCACCATACTTTCCGCGGCGGTGACATTCTGTCCGAGCCAGCACCTTAGCACACGTTCCCCTCAAAGCAGAAGACAGAAAGCTATTAAAACAGCTTCAACGAGTTGTCGCTAAGCGAAGTGAGTAATTCACTCGCAGCAGCGACCGATTGCACAATTCACAACATTTTTCAGAGCCAGAATATAACAGACTTAGATTCAAGACCAGATACGAGGCGGGCGGCTATTTGGTTAGTCAAATGTTTAACAAGTTTTAGGAGGGAGGTACGGGATACATCAAGGAGGATATGTAAGCAAGTGCAGGCAAATCCTTTTGCGTCAGACCTATTAAAGGCTTATTAACAATTTTTGTATACCATGTCCACTCAAGTGGGTTCGAATCTACCATACTAGCTGACAACAGCATGTTGTGTATGTCACACTTAAGAGGTAAACTAATAATAAGAAACTAGGTAAGGCGTTATCGACTTTAAGAGCAGGTCATTTCATGGCCAATGACTCGGTCAAATTCCGTATCCTCAGGCCGGACCTTCCAACACACGCTGCTGCGTCGGTCCGAGTCTCCGTATACCCGATGCCACTTTTGCTCAAGTTCTGGGGGAGTTTTCCAGGCGTGCATGCCACTGCGCATCCAGAGCCGCATAATGTGTCGCCGCTGCCCGTTCGTAGGCGCATCGTGAAAGGCCCGTCTCCCATGCATCACGCTTAAATTATTGTTCAGCAGAATGTCGCCCGGATCTAGTGCCACAGTCAGCCCCTGCGCCTCTGCAACGTAGTGCACAAGGTCCAGCGCTTCTGCTTGCGCCTCCGACATGGCGGGGAGGCTGGTAGACAGCGGGTAGTCCTCTGAGCCGTAATCTTTTGACGGGAATAGCAGAAGAATGGGCCATGTGTAGGTTCGCGGAAGAGTATGGGGCGGCCCTTCCAAACGGACGGCAGCACATCCCTGAATCTAGCATTAGAATGAAATTTCCCGCTTTTTTTTCGTATGGAGGAGGGGAAGGAGATGGTTCGGGATGTATGTGGTCATACCTTGGCGATGGGAAGCCTGAACCACTTTGACACGTACTGCAGGAAAACATGCAAGGCCTGCGTTCCAAGCGGCATGGCAAAGGAAGCTGCACATGCGTATCGGACTATCTGATGTCTTTAATTAGATTAAAAAAATCTCGTTGATAGTATTCTGCACTGCCTTCTTAAAATTGCCCATAGACTTGGCGAACAGACATCGCCTTGTTCAGAGTGTTCATTGCTGCCATCATTACCGGTTGCGGTAGGATGGAGCACGTTCATGCGGTTCGATTGCTGGTTCTATGCTGCTTTCTGAGGAAGGAATTAGAAGCGATGCGTTCTTTCCTAGTAGAGCTAGTGCAAAGGGGATTAATAGAAGGGCGAGCGGAAAGATAAAATAGAATGGAGCCAAGACTTGGATGAGCAGCAAAGATGGGCCGACAATTGGTCCAATGAGCTGTGCCACCTGGCTGGCACCCTCCAAGAACGAGAAAGTCGTCGTCCTGGATGCGTCGGTGAGCGTTTCGCGGCGTTTTATGCAAGATTGTGGAGTGAATAATGGCGTTATTAAAATGCGTAGCACCGCCCGGCACGCAAAAAATGGGGGGCCAAAAGGACCCAGTTCACGGAAAACGTCTTGTAGAAGACAACTAGAAAAGCTGATAAGCCCTTTCCCCCCGTCCGGCAAGTGTAATGCCGATTTCACTTACAAACTGGGCACCGTGAGTAGACTTCATCGCAACAATACCGTTGGGCATGCTGGCAAACCATTTCGGCCCCATTCTCAGTTGGGCTTGGCCAGTGATCAGCATTGACTTTGCGATCGCAAGCAGCTCCTCGAAGCGAAAAGAAGGGCTAGCAACCAACCGCAAGCAAAATGAAGGAGCTCGCCAGCCAGGCGAACCCAAGCTACTTTTCGCAGAACGTCAATGATGACTTCGCAGTCATACTCGTCAACAGACCCGTCCAGGCCAATCATGCCTGGATCATGCTGCGCATAGTATTCACGGCACACGATGGACTCAAGTAGCCGAAGGGTTGGCGCCCCTTTAGCGAAAAAGGATATGTTCAGGACCAGCACAATGGCGATTCAAAAGCCAGGCGCGGTCTTTGCTCGCCAGCCTAGCCGCTCTTTACTGTTCTTGGCGTGGGTTAATCCTTCGCTTTCAGTGTGACTGGCATCGTGACTTGGAGGGACTTCGCTCTCATGAGCAGGTGCTGCGCAGGTATTCATCCTAATCAAAAACAACAAGAGACGGCCGTACAACTAATAAGTCGAAGCACTAGACGCGGGGTAGTATCGCAGGGTCCGCCAATTAGTTTAGTGCTAATAGTAGTGTTTGTAAAGTTTGTGATAATGTGAAAATGGGGCGACGGGAGGGGGGGTGACGGGGGGATGGACTATATCCCTTACTATGGATTCAACCGAGCGCGTATCGGGATCTGCCTCGACGCCATGGCCAGAAACATACGCACAATTACACAGCGGGAAAGGCAAGGCCGAAGTCATAGCTGGCGGCACGGAATGGCGGCACGGAAGACAGCTTTTAGGAGTGGGTGTTTTCTCTCCACTTTGAAGCGGATGATGTTGTTAGGCGTTTAAAAGGCAGAAGAAGAAGCACTAACTTAGTTACCCGGATGAGAACGTGCTGCACCATTTTAAACTGACAAAGGGACGGGAATCTAGGCTGGGATGACGCCCTGTATAAGTGGAGATGGAAAGAGCGCCACACATAATAATTTTATGGTTGGTTCGGGTAGTTATTTATTACCGATTATTCTCTACTGACTAGTCGCCGTTTCAGACTAGGGGTAAGTATTTTATAATACTACCTAGTTATATATAAATGAGACTTTATAGCTCAGAGGCGGTGAGCCTTTCCAACCACCATTAGATCATTCTTTCAAGCTCCAGTTAAGAAAAGCATAAAAGATTAAAGCCCATGCTGCTTGTATTGTAATGACTCGTGTATATACAGGGAACGTACGTCACTCCGCTTCATTTATCCCCATTGTAGTGACTCGTGTATATAAATGGAACGTCACTCCGCTTCATTAAAACACATATGTTCTCACACCAGACATCCATCATGTCGTACCAACCTCAGCAGCCGTACCACCCTCAGCAGCGGCAGCAGCCGCCGCCGCAACATCAGCAGCAGCAGTACAACCCGCCCGCAACATCCTCAGCCGACAGCGGCATTTTCCACGGCGGCGCTTACAGCATCAGCCACCGCGATACAAATGCAATCCTCAATATCAATCTTCAGCCCGGTGCGGTGGTAAACTCCAAGTCAGGCGCCATGATCCACATGGCCGGCACAGTGCAGCTCACTGGTAACGTCAAGTTCTCAATGAAGAAGCTTTTCACGGGCGGACAAATGTCCGAGTCTACATACGCCGGGCCGGGAACGGTTGCTCTCGGCCCTACGCTCATGGGCGACATTATTACCCTGCATGTCGACGGTCGCACGCAATGGACGGTGGGCAAGGATGCCTACCTCGCGCGCACGCCCCAGGTGGTCATGGATACCAAGGCGCAGGGGATTAGCAAATCACTATTTTCGGGCGAGGACATCTTTGTCTACCGTCTGGCTGGGCAGGGTTTGCTCTGGTTGACAAGCTTCGGAGCTGTGGATCGTCTAGATGTAAGAGACTCTGCTAGGTTGCCTTTTCGCCTTTAACACATTTGCGCTAACTGATATTTTAACAATAGCTTCGACCGGGCGAGCAGCACATTGTTGATAACGGTCATCTTGTAGCCTGGAGCTGCGACTATAAGATCGAAAAGGCTGGAGGCGGATCTATGAGCAGTCTTAAGACGGGCGAAGGCCTGGTATGTCGTTTCACTGGGCCTGGCTCTGTGTATGTGCAGACGCGAAATATGGATGAGTTTACTTCATATATTAGCTCACATACGGAGTAGTAGCGCTCAAATTAGCATAGTACAAGGGAATAGCACTGCGTATCATCTCCTCGGTTCACACAGATCCATTGGTCTCCATCATGCCAGTGTCGATGGACAGGCACCCATTTACACGCAGTTCACGAGGCAATCCTGCCTGCGTCGCCGTATTGTGCCATTTCCAACAAGTGGCAGAGATTGATTGCAGGAATCACAGTATTGTCGACAAGAGACTGTAAAGTTGAAATTAGGAGGCACAGTAGTAATCTACTAGAGTTTAAGTATACTTGGCTTTACAGCTGTCTGGGAGTAGACTGGCTCGCGAGGTACTTCTTGGTCAGCTCCACTCTCTCGAGCACATTCACTGAACGTGGTCTGCATTCTCATGCCTTCCACAATGCTTACGAAGCCGTCAAAAAAGGCAATACCACCTCGTCATCGTGATTGTAGCAGCGATCTTTGACTTTTGGACGGAGCCGAGCTCCGGCCCCCAAACCAAGCTCACACACGTCCTGCTTTTCGTCGCCTTCCTCATGACTGGCCGCATGACTGACCCAACCTGGTGTCTTGTCCAGCACGTTAATGTGATCTGGCCGGTACGAAACCATGAGCGGAAAGCTTTCTGGTATCGTCGCTCCGATCCTCAGCGTGGCAAACGAGTCGAGCCTCTCCCTCCAGCACGGCGTCAAAGCGCTAAAATCGACACCGAGAAGAGAGAGCAAAAAGACATCGAGGAGGACGGAGAGGATAATCTTGTTGGTTGCCGAAAGATCTGGTGCCTGGATTTTAGGCCCCGTGAGCCGCTTGATTTTCATCTCCCTGACGCTCGCAGTCATCCAGGCATTGTGGACAATGAATGCGGCGGCGTCCATGGCGATTGCAATGGCGCGTTTGTTAGCTTCGGATGACACAAAATGCGAAAGATATGCCCTGCACCCCGTGAATACACTATATTAGTCAGTGCCCTGCAGGCATTGCTGGTGCTCATAAAAAAAGGCCACAGCGGCGCGACCTGGAGACAAGCCTCGTACTTGCCCGGTTTGGCGTCGGTCGCGTCGTCCATGAACGATCCCTTGCCAAACAGGACCAAGGCGAACGTGGATAGCGGGCCCCAGGTACGGGAATCAGGGGTTCCTTCTTTGACCGTTACATCATTCCACTGATCGTCGCAGCTCTGCATGTCTCCGCGGGGAGGACCGGGTCCTCACCTGGCGGTGTACTGGCCGCTGCTGAGCTCTTCGAGTATCGGCCCGCCAAAGCTGACGTCGAGGTAGAGCTCCTTGATGAAATCCTGGGACCGGCGCTGCAGCAACCACGGGCTGCGCGCGTACACGTCCGGGACGCAAACGGTGGCGTTGTAACCGAGATCCTGTGCCGACGCTGTACTGGATGAGCAGAGCACTGTGAGTCACACTCTTGGCCCAAAAGCTCGTGTTTCGGCGGCAGCTTGCCGGTAGCGGCTCGCCGGCCCAGTCTTGGTACCGGACCGATGAGTTGAGGCGCGGCGCAAACTGCGTCATCGCGCCCGTGTTGAACTTGAACGGCAGAGGTGCCCAGAACGTATCCTTTAGGTAGACAAGCTCCTTGAGCGTGTTTTGGAAAGATGCTTCGCAGTTGAGGTAGGGCACGTTGGCGCCCGTCCGCTTGTCGCAGTAGCTGGTGTCTAACCAGAGCGTGGATTGCACGTCGCTCTCTAGGCTACAGCCGAGGAGCTTCGCAACGAAGTGACATAGTACTGTCTGCTTGTTCCAGTCCTGCTGATGGCGTCTAGAAGATCCGGTACACTCAAATCATCCATGTCCCGAAGAATATGCTAAGTCTTGTACGAAACCAATATCGCCGGTAAGGGGGATATGATAGATCCTGGCATTATAGTCACACTGAATTGACGTGGAGAAATGTGAAAAAGAAAAGACAAAAGATTGTCCATCAATTCCTACTTTATTAGTGTACGAGAAAATCCCTTACCTAGTAGACTCAGCATGACCGCCAAGCAGAAAAAGCCCGACCCTTTACGTTTCCATCGCCGTGTAAACAGCATCTTGAGCACCACCAAAGGCTCCGTCTAAGACTTGTCAGCAAGCGTCATGGTTTGCCTCATGGTAGGGCCGCGGTTTTTTTCCGCTTTCCGTTGGAGGTATACCACTGAAGCACGGGAGCAGACGGCCGACGTGAGCGGAATGGTCAGGATACCCACAAGGGCTTGCATGACCCTCGCGGCCTTGATGTAGCTTTCACATTCAATCAGCCCGTACGACCCTAGGTTCCTCTCTTTCTGAAACTTGTCGGTGTGATCCGCGGCCCATGTCTGATCGTAGGTGAAGCTGTGAGCATTGATGGGCCGATGCGCCGTGATACAGATGATGACCCACACCGCGACAGCCAACGCGGCGTACAAGACGCAGTTGGCAACCATGCCGGGTGCCCGCTTCAGCTGCGTCGATGGGAGGCTCTCAATCTCAAGGACGCCTAGTGATGGTGTGTTGACCAGCAGCGGCCGCTCCGGCAGGGGAGGGCGGTAATCTTCCTCGTCTATTGGCATTTCCACCGACATGGGGTTGAGCAGACTGCTTGCTAGCGACTGAGTCAAAGTAAGGCTAGTTAGATAAAAGAGACGAATCAGAGAAGAAGAAAATGCCAAGTTAACAAAAGTGCGAGAATGATAAGCTCAGGGACAGAGCGTATGTTTGTATGTTATTGTTGTTCTTTTATTCTTTTCTTTTCAGTTACAATGGTGCAGCGGTGCGTCATCGCCCAGACGACAAAAAACTTGTCAATTACTAACATCACAATCTGCCTACATCTGCAGCGTTACTTTTGTGTGGACGCTTCACAAGGCTGCAACTCCCAGGGGGTGGCTGCGGATCAGGCTGCCTGGCGCTCAGCTTGCCTGCATTATGCTAAAACAATACATAGAACTAAAACGAGGGTGCCTCGCCATGCAAGTGCTTGCTGAAGCGAAACACTCTTTTTCTCATACCTTGGTAAGTTTTGACTGACCCAGCTAACGGCCGACATGCTATAAGACGGCTAAGTATATTACCAAGTTAATTAGTATCCTATACTTTAGATGTATAGTACTACTATGTAAGCTTAATTTACTTACGTCTAACTCTAGTAATAAGTATTAGTATCGTAGTATTTACTCGGCTAGGAGTAGCTATATAATGTATACTACTACTGACCGACCTATGCTATTAGTGCTGTGAATGATGAGTCGTGCGGCAGGTAACTAAGTGTTACAGGGTGCAAGTCAGACGTATATTGGTGCTCTTAATTTATTGCGAAGTTACGGAACCTGGATACCTACGCATGCGATGCAGATAGTTACGGGTAATGTTGCCCCCTCTCCAAGGGAGAGCGGAGTCTAAGCTCCTAGCGTAGCATGTGCTTAGCTAACCCGCCAGGCGAATAAAGCTGAACTGAGGCACATGGAATTGGAGACCTGTTGCGGTGACAGCCTCCATATGGCCGGCGGCCGCGACAACGAATAGCACACGGCCGAAGTCATCGGTGTAATTTTCAATCCAGCATTGATGGAATTGCGCCATACAGCCTGCTACGTAATCGTTTTGGCAATGAAATATTAGCGCGAAAGGCCGAGGTAGCTTGTGGCAACTCGAAATGGTACTATCGTAACGCTCCTTTGCTATCGGTCTAAACTTTGGTGTAGTTGGTCATGGTTGAGCGGGTCTGGGTTGTTAGGCGCGTCGTAGCATGCGCTAAAGTCAATGCCGCCGCCACTAAAGTTCGACAAGGAACGATCGTGGACCGATGCGATAGCCGCTGCCGCCATACCATTCCCAAACCAGAATTCAGCTTCAAGCTGTTATTCAAAAAATTGCGAGACGGTATATCAGTGGTGAGTTCTGCTTTTGAATGCCTATTTAGCAATACCTAGAGTCGTCGAGGCCGACTCAGTACCACAACACAAGGACAGATTACGCCAGGGCTGGTCCTAGACTTTGAGGGTAAGTCACGCTACATATGGATATTAGGTCATATAATCAAGCTAAAATCAGGAGGTAAACTTGCGCTAAGCATGGCGCAGCGCTGTGTTTACTAAAAGAATTGAGCACTAAGGGCAGAGGCATTCGCGCCGCTCTGAGAGCAATGTTATGACCGCCTACAGAACGGATACAAGAAAATACAAGACTTTAAAAAGCGAAAGAGAAAATGATTGGGTTACGCCTATAGTAATACTCTGAAGTGCTTATAGCTACCCTTGTACCTGTTTAACCTACCTAAGGCTCTAAGAAGCCGACTACTGTGTGCCTAAGACACAAGCCACATCTATAATTGACGTATAATAAATTAGAAGCTGTAATAAATGTTGAATTTATTGTGCTTAACACAGCTAAAATGTGTTGAAATAAAATACCTGTTTTACAATAACAAGACTAAAACAAAAATGACATCAGGAATGGCAATAAAAAGAACAACAATAATAAGAAGAATACCAAACATCCATAACAACTTCAAGCTTTCTCGGCCGAGACTGAGATTGCCCACTGATCAGGCTTCAATGGGGCGGGAAATATCCCGCAAGGTCTCTTGGCTAGTCTTCAAGGCATCGCTGACCCTCTCGTGGAATGCAATATCTCTCTGGCTTTCAACCGCAGTGTTCTCGTCACGTAAGAGATTCATGGTCTTGCCAATTTCAGACAAATAGGACTTGACGGCCGCCGTCACGTCGTTCTGCGCCGTTGTCGCTAACTCTTTGAAACCTGTCCGCAGCTTTTGCATAATGTCGTCGAACAAAGCTTCGTTGCCAAACGCCCCTGTAATTATAGCTTTGCGTCTGCCATCCGACCCGGTTCCTAATCTGTGATTACTACACATGTCCTTTCTCCAAGACTCGAGGAAAGACTTACCGCTTTCATAGTTGCATGCATCATATGAGGATTCCATAGCGACCCCGATGTATGAGGTTCTCAAGCTTGAAAACGCATCGGTTCGTAGTTTTCTAAGACACGTCATCATCAGACTTCACATGCATCAAGCCACTGTTGCACTCTAGCACTCACCTGAGTTGTAAGTTGGCACGCTCATGCGCGTTCTGAACGGTATCAAGAAGGATACTCTGCTCTAAGTCCAAAGCATGTCGCAAGGGGCTCATAGTGGCAAGGATGCCTATAGGATGATTATCTGCAGTCAGTGTAAGAATTGCAGCCCACTGTCGACGAGCATTTGACTTCTGTATTCCCGGTACTTACCCAGCGAGTCGAGCACAGAATCTGTTGAGGTCGTGAGTAACTCAGCTATTCTGGTTTCTTCTGCTTGCACAAATGATACGAATGTTTGCCACGGTGTCTTCATGTCTTGAGCCATCTGCCTGTTGGCTTCTCCATTCCAGTCGTGATGCCCAGCGGCAGGTGTGCTGTAATTCCCATATTGGCGACAAAATGCGCTGTATGTAGCTAGCAATTATAAGTGGAAGCGACGCAACCTGGGTGTGTCTAACTTACAGTGATACCACTGCATCATTGAATTAGCCTATGAACGAAGATGCTGCGGGCTTCACATCACCTACAACGGACCATTGACTGGCTGCGGAATATGCCGATTCGCTCCATTCATTCACTCGGCGCCCTTGTTAAGTATCTTAGCGTCATTGATAAAAGAAAGGAAAGACGCAAGGTTACTGGCTATACTTACTGTCATATACTTCTGCTTTGAAAATCTGGCAGAGTACCTTGGAAATTTGTTGGGAAGGTGCGCGGTGGTTGAGAGTCTGTGGGACTGGGTTAGCAAGAAATTACGAAAGGTTATCTAATTTTCATCAGAAACTTGCCGATTCGAGCCGGGTTTCTACATCATCAAGCGCACTCCTCACAGCAGCTCTAATCTCGCCGTCCCAAGTATTCACGCCCGACTGAACCCAAAGATCAATGGCAGCCAGCAGCTTCGGGACATCTGTTTTCATGAAAGCAGACGCTGCGCGGTGCTGGTTCGCAGAGACGATTGACACGCAGTGTCGACGCAGATCGATGATGCCGCTCAACTTGAGGTAGGGCAGAGCAATCTCGATCTTTGCCTGCCGCTTTTCTTGATAGAGAGTATTGCTTACACAGAAGACCTTGGTATCCGCTGAAGCAGGACCAGTTCGGTACTTTCTGTGTAGACTTTTAACTAGGTCGCCGTTTCGACATTTTATCAGGAAGCTTTGTAGTCTGGGGCACATCAGTTAACCTTTGTTTTGCTCATGCAATATCAGACGAACATGGAAGCACGTAGACCTACTCGAACTGGCAAGATTCTTCGGTTTTCCTATTTTGAATAATTAGTTTTTCATTTCAGAGAAAGTCATTGAATTAAACTCACTGAGATTTAAGTATGCTTTCTCTGAGCTTATTTATTCTCCGATTGTCCTCATGGAAGCGATTTTCTTCGTCGGGGAAATTCTGCAATTCCTCATCCAAGTCTTCTTTCAGTTGTTCTATGTTTTTTCGGTGCTTTTCAATGGCCTTCAACTGCTTTTTGATAGTAGCTGCTCGTTCTCCTGGCCAATCCTTTTGGCACTCCTTTCCATTAATGGCCTATGACGGAAGAGAGATGCTATTAATTACGCCTGCAACGAATTTGACATACTAATGAAGAGGTGGGGAGAGATTGTACCTCGGAGTTTGTGCATATGATGCTAATGCTTTCTAGATGCTCCGCCATCCGGAAGATCTCCTGGATTGTCTCGTCGTCGGAGGCTCGACTCGCCGGGCAAACGGCGAATATTTCATTACAGTTTCGAATGTATACCTCAGTTATGTTTCTTCGCGCAGAATTAATATCGCGGAGCCCTGGAGGCATTAGTGGACAGTAATATGAATGTGTGGAGAGAAGGATCACATACCTGGCAAATCTACCAGGATCAATCCCTTCTTCAGTATCTGCGCATTGAGAAATACTCTATTAAAAATTAGTATATTGCGCAAAGCTTATCGTTAATTTAACCGGAAATACCTGATTTTCTCAATATAGGGCCAAACAGCAGCTCGGGTGGCGGAGTCTCCAGCAGAAGAAGCTGGAGTGGACGTCAGCTCCGTCAGCTTCTCCGAGCATGCCTCTTTTGTTAGTCCAGTCATGACGGTATGGGAGCTTGGAGGCCTCAGCTCCGTAATAAGACGTTTAAATGTACGCTTCATGCGGCCTTCGTCTTCATTTAGGAGAGTATTTTGACTTGGTAGTTGGCTCTGAAACAGTGAGCTGAATGTATCTGTAGCAAGCATCGCCAACTCGTAGAAGTAGTCTCGGTCGTCTTCAGACGGACACTCGAGATGAAAATGGCGATAGTATTTTAGAAGTTGCATTTGCTGCTCCAGGAGCGCGTCTTCGTCAAAGAGCTGAACTTCAATGCTGATCGTGTCCGAGTCGTGGTAGTGGAATTCGGTAGCTGCGCAAGTGCAAGCCCCGCCAGCACTACCCTATTTTACCGTCATTAGTATATTTTTTTTAAAAGAATGCGTATTCATCTCACTGATTTCACAAGATCCCCTTCATCCAGTAACGAGTTTAAGACGCTGCTCTTCCCTGTTCATTTTGTTAGCGCTCAGGTCATGGTCGAAATCCTGTCTAGACTTACCGGCGCCTGCGCCACCAACAAAACCCACAACTCTTGTTGCGGTGGGCCTGAAATCGGCCAAGGCGACAGCCGTTTTGTGTAGCTCATGCATCTTTGAGTCTTCTTCTCGATGCAGTGGGCTGCTGCTCAGCACCTCGGCCAACTCTCCCGCTAGGGCCTTGGTGCCGAGCAGCGCTGACTGAAATTCAGGTGAATTGAAGACATCCCTCGGAGGTTCTTCAACAGAAACATCGTAGCGTTTTATATTGCTTGAACTGCGTCTACGTGTAGACCCCCGGGACCGATCTCCGTCCTCTGGAAGGACTGTGAGGCCTGGCCGAGCAGCTCGCGGTGTTTCAGCAAAAGATTCGTCGTTCAGCGCAGACGATAGATCTTGAAAGTCCGAAAGACCCCCGTTGCCGTTTACCCCCAATTGGGCGACAGCATCGCAGAGCTGAGTCGAGGTGTAGTCTCTTGCACTCGGGATAGGAGAGGTGGTATACTCTCTTCGCTCAGGGTTAGGGATAGGAGATACAGATATCGACGGGGTTCGGAAGCTGAATTCGTTCTCTGACGTGGAAGAACTGCGGGATCCGAACAGGAATGGGGCGGGAGGGCTTTCTGTAGAAGGTAGCGGAAGGTCTCGCTCGTCTCGAGGCGGAATATTTGCGTTGGGATAAAGATTAATCTGCCATCCTGTTAGTTCCAATTAAACTACTATGCAAACATTGTCCATACCTTCGTCATTGTGGAAAGAACTGCAGTCCAACGTCGAGCGTAACTTAGGTAGGACGAACAACTGTGTTACAGAAATGGACAAAGCTGGACTCTAAATAGAACAAGGGGCCGCAGGTAACGTTTGTAAGCATGCCATCTTAACCCTCATGCCTATTCTAGACGAGCTGCACACAGTCATGCACCTGCTTGACGAATGGGTGGAGCTGGAGTATTAACTACGTGCAGCGAGGCACATGATACAGCTGTAGGCGCTGGTGGCTTTCCAGGATGTTAAAATCCGCTATTCACGGACACACGGTCGCCCACCGTCGCGGCCAGCTAAACGTGGTGCCAGCTTCACTCGTCTGGCAAAACTTGCCCTCCTAACCTATGGTCTTACTCTGCTATGTAAAATTCTGAAACAGTTTCTTCAATAACGGAAACGATCACGGCAGGCGAACCACTTTCAGTTGCAACTTATGCAAGGTGAGTTGGAAGGCTGAGCTCCCCCTGCAAGCCGCCCCCTTGAACCTGCAGCCAACCGTCTTTGGCGACCCTCCCCGTCGCACTGACTTGGGCCCAGGCATTTTCGTAAACAGGTTCTATGCTAACATATCAAGGGTGAACATCCTCACGGTATTCGGAGGGATCTCCTTCTCCTCAAAAAATACTTTTTCCGGAGAACGGAAGCGGTGCAGCCTCGTCGCAACGGCCCGAACACGGGATTAGCCCGATCGCCCCCGCCCCGCGGAACGCCCGAAGACAAAGAAAGCATGTTGCATTGTGGCGCAGCCTAGTCAGCCTTGGGCGTTCCAGTAGGCGCTGGCATGACTCAAACTTGGCCCATCCCTACAGCCCGAGTACAAGGACGAAGATGCGGCCTATTGGGCCTCGCTAATCCCAGGTTGGACATTTGCCCGTTCTTACGCATTAGGCATAGATACAGAGAAAAGGGGAGTCAATTAACTAGGTTTGAAGCTTCCTACGTGGCCAGTCAAGACAACCGGCGGGTGGTGCTTAGGGAGGTTGCTGCCCTAGTATACAAATGCTTATTAAAATCAACCCTACGACACTCGAGGGCCCTAACAAATGCTGAAAACACCTTTCGCATCTATGCGCATTCGCCACACGCGAATGGTAGAGAAGTCTGCTTTATATATATTATGTATTTACTGCTGTTTTCTAGGCAAAGTATGGGGCTATGCAGCTGGCCATTGTAATATTGAACTATATGACGCCTATCGCACACAACCCACTACTGGCCGTCCTCTTCCGTTCTGCGCTAAATTTCTCGTCCGTGAGTTCCTATAACTAGCTTTAATTATGAATGTATGCCTTTAAAAAAAATAAATCGGAAAAATTGTTTACAGCTATAATTTATCTTATCTAACCGAAGTTGCTAGCTAATAACTTACTAGTATAGTAGCTACTATTATAAACACATTAAAATATAGGTAGTAAAGGGTAGAATAGTAGAATTAATAAAGAAATACAGACACTTATTATAATAGTAGCTTAATCCTTAATCTATACTAGGTCTATTTTTTAAGAAGAGAGTTAGTTTAAATATATAGAGTATTAATAAATAGTTACTATAGTATAGATTATATTAAGAGATTTCTCCTAATAGTAGAATTATTACTTAGATAAATTAGTAGAGATCTAGTCTAGTTATTAACTAAAAATCCTTTTCTTTATATATCTATCCTTCTCTTTACTATATTACTTAAATTACTATAGTTTACTAATTAGTCTAAGAATACTAGATTAGTATTAGATTATTTAGTATTTAGTTATATAATTATTATAATAGTAGCTTAATCCTAATCTATAGTTAGTCTAATTCTTAAGAAGAGAGTTAGTTTAAATATATAAAGTACTAATAAATAGTTATTATAGTAGAAATTATAGTAAAAGATATCTCCTAATAGTAGAACTATTATATAGATTAATTAATAGAGATTTAGTCTACTTATCTATAATCGCTTCCTTTATATATCTATCCTATCCTCTACTATATTACTTAGATTACTTTATTTACTCTATAATCCTAATAATCCTAGATTAGTACTAGATTATAATAATCCTTAGTAATCTAGTTATATAATTAGTTCTTTTATTTTTATACTCTTATAAGTACTTTATAGTTACTTATTAGACTACTTTACTTTTTATTTACTTTAGTATATTTATATTAATTATATTCTTTATTTCTATACTTTTATAAAACTTATAGTTATTTATTAAATTATTCTACTTTTTATTTATAATACTTTAGTATATTTATAATATTATTCTCTTTTTTTATTAGTTTTATTTTTAAAATATATAGTTTTATTTTATAAGCTTTCTTTCTTTTTATATTATTTTTATTATTATACTTAATTAAGTATTTAAGTTTTATTCTACTAAAGTTAAATAATATTCTAACCTTACTAGCATTTTTAAAAGATTTTAGTATTATTATTATAGTTTACTCTTTTTATTATTTAAAGAAACTTCTTTAAAAAATAATATAAAAAAACTTTTATTATAAAGAATATATTTATTAGAACTATTTATATAATAGTTTAAATATTCTTTTATTATTCTTTAATTAAATAGTTTTAAATTTTAATATTTATATTAAAAGAAGAAAAAGATTATTATTATACTATAATACTTTTAATAGAAGTTATTTAAAATCCTTACTAAATTAAACTATTTATATAAATTATAAAAGTCTTTTAGAACTTATAATACTATAGGACGCCTTATTAATATTAAATAGTCTAGTCTTAATAGAGTTATTTCTCTCTTCTTCCCCCTTTTCTAAGTCTACTAGGTACCTTAACTAAGGTAGAAATTTATTCTTAGTATACGACTTTAGCTAATAATAAATACTTTTACTAATATCTATAACCTTTTTAGCTCGGAAAGCCATACGTGCCTAGGCCTGGATGTGACACATCTTTTCAATAATGCCGAGCAGATTCAGCGTGAAAACGTGAGAAATTAGGAGCAGATGACTGTCTCAAATTTTTATTAACAATCCAATTTCATTATCTGTCAGTTACAGATGATCGGGACTATACTGGTTGGAAGGACCTCCCCCAATAAACTTGCGTAGAGCGCATATACACCCTATACAGTGTACCGACTCGTGCGCTCGCCCTACCATTCCGCCATTCAAGCTTGTTCACTTTGAATAAGTGTAGACCTTTCAAACTCGTTAAATAAACTTTTTTCATTTTTTTTTCGACGATGCAAAGCACAGGAGCTCTCTCAACCAAGTGGGCTGTTACGGTGTGATTCATTGATTGGCCAACTTTGCATGCGATAATTGTAAGTGGTCATACGACAGAGCCTTTCCTGCCACATTAGATACTAAGTTGCAAAAAGTGTAACAAAGTCTTAAACCTGTTTAGAAAACTACACAGCTTGCTCGACTCGGTGCATAAGACTGCCTTTTGTGCCACTTCCTCTGTTCCAGTATTGTCTTTGAAAACTTGGCCCATCTGCTCTGGAGTCTTACCATTTGGCTCGGGTGCTAAGTAAACGTCTATGCACCTAAAAACAGGCAAAAGCATGCAAAGAAGACATATGCTCCAAAGCCGGTATTCTGAACTAGCGGTGGAGTCACCAGTCCCTGCTCTACTGTTTGGTGTCGTTGTGGCTTATAAGGAACTGAAGCGGGCTTCCCTGGCTCACCTGCACATTGGCGAATTTCGTGTAAAAATTGTGCCTAGGCATTTTGTCAACTCTATTTCCAACCATTCTGCATCTATTTGAGTCTCGCTGTCCTCAGTAACGAAGTTTCAAAACTTGGAAGTCACAGTCTCGCCGTGGCGCCCTGCCCCTCCACTAAATTGTGCAGCTCCTTTAACACTTTCCTTGGTGATGACCTGTACACCATTCTCAAACTCATTGCTGAGAGCATCCTCAAAGGATTTGGCACTGTAGGCAGAATAATAACAGTTTGTGCGGTCAACGTTCATACAGTTTTGGGGGAATGTCAAGAGCTGTTTCGCGATCTGTGTCGCCTCTGCCAAGGCTTGTCCCCGCGGAACGACACGATTGGCGAGCCCCATCTGTAATGCTTCGTGAGCTGGGACACTGCGCCCTGTGAGGATCATATCAAGAGCCCTTCCTAGCCCGATAATTGCCTGGAGGCGGACTGTCCCGCCGTCGATCAAAGGCACACCAAACCTGCGGCAAAAGACGCCAAAAGTAGCATCTTCTTCCGCGACTCGAATATCGCCAATTAAAGAGAGCTCTAAACCGCCAGCGACAGCATATCCTGATACTGCACTGATAATGGGTTTTTTAACCTGCATCCTGGACGGGCCGATGGGGCCAATGTTACGGCCCACGACATGATGCTGAGGGTCAATAATTGGACCTCTGTACTCCTCGCTCGCTTGCCCATACTTGGCAACCTCGTGAAGATCGAATCCAGAGCAGAAAGTACCGTGGGCACCGTACAGAATACAGACTTTCTGGCTGGCGTCTTGTTCAAAGGCAAGCAAAGCACTCGTCAGACCTCTAGCAGTGGGTCCATCGATGGCGTTGCGTCTGTGAGCTCGATTGATGGTAATGGTGGTGATGCCATCCGCAGTCTTGTCGACCAAATAGGTTTGTGGTTCATTGCTGGTCATGATGAAATGCGATTCGTTTCTGAGGAGAGATGATGGATAAACCTGGGTACAATATCAGGGCGATTGCGGGCAGGAGTATGCCGACTATAAATCTTATGACCAGCAAACGGCTATCTATGGCATGGCTAGCAATACTTGGGCTTTTGTCGTTCGTCGGCCACAGCTGTGGGGCCCGGGCTGGTCGAGAAATAGTGGGCACGGCTCAACCGTGGCCCAGGCTGGTTACGAAATTATGGGCACGGCTCAGCCAGGTAGTTGTAAACCGTGCCCACCTACCGATATTTGTGGGCTCGCCACGGAATGGCATTGCTGTTAAATAATCGTCATATGGTAAACAGTTCACAGAGCTAGCAAGCTTTTGACAAGTCATCGCAAGATCCAAAGCCCCGTGCCCACTATAGAGCACTATTTACAGCGAGGAAGTCCTGTTAGACTTGAAGCTGTCAGCCATGCTTGACCGGCATGTGCCTGTTGCGATGATAATCAGCGGTTCATTGGTCGACGAGTGCATTGGCCATTGCCATATCCGAGTTATTTTCTGTGCTGTTGCCTGCTTCTGAAACTAGAACGTACACATGAGTCACTGTGCTGGGCCGGCCGTCCCCACCTCGATACCGTACGTTGGAAGAAGCGCGAATGCATATTATAGAAGTACGTACAAAGATTTTGTGGACAATACGCGATACGTATAGAAAAGGCAAGTCGTAAAGTATTCTCAAGCATACCCCCTCAGAGTACTTGCCAAGGCATATAGAAATCTGGAACATCTTTACTCCAAGAATCATGGTGCCTTACAAAAGCAAGTCACTGTATCCTGGCGGTGCTACGGCGGAGCCACGCTTGATACGATTCACAAACTGTAGGCTCTTGCGTGGAAACACACTTCTGCATGAAGACGTCTGGTTTAACGCAGAGTGGGGAAGAATCATTGACGAGCCGGCATCTTGTTATGGTCGAAAACTTCCGGAAGTCCAAGTCATTGACCTGAATGGATCTATTGTTTCTCCAGGTTGGATTGATTGTCAGCTCAATGGCGCGTTTGGCTTCAACTTCTCGGACGTAGCTGGAGATATGGGCGACTATGCGAAGCGGCTCAGAAAAGTCAACGAGAGGCTGCTTCAGACAGGCGTAACTTCTTATCTGCCTACCATCACCAGCCAACAGTCAGTTGTGTACAAGAAGGTTAGTCCTTGCCAGCTCCCTTACATTTGCCGTTTTATTAAAGAAATTAGGCTCTACCGTTCCACAAACCACAAGGTCTATTGCGACTTGCAGAACTCGGTGCCGAGTCACTCGGTGCACATTGTGAAGGGCCTTTCTTGAATACGCTGAGGAATGGGGCACATGATGTGGACGCTTTGGCAGAAGCACAAAATTTCACAGACATCGAGGCACGCTATGGCAAGGAGAATCTTATTTCTGATAAAAGAAACCATGCAGCGGCGATCAAGATGATTACGGCGGCCCCAGAACTTGGTAAAATGACATCTTTGATTCCAAAGCTAGCTTTGCAGAATATTGTCTTCTCCATCGGCCATACCGACGCCACCTATGAGCAAGCCGCTACAGCAGTCGAGAACGGCGCTTCCATGATTACGCACCTCTTTAATGCAATGGCGCCTCTGCATCACAGAAACCCAGGCGTTTTGGGCCTGCTGGGACACAGTTCTAATGCGGCTCGGCCCTTTTTTGGAATTATCGCTGATGGCATCCATCTGCATCCCGCGACAGTGAGTTTGGTGTTCAAAACAAACCCAGACAGATTGATCCTCGTCACCGATGGAATGCATCTGCTGGGCTCGCCAGATGGTATATATCAGTGGATGAATGGCGACTCATCATGCAACATCAAGAAAGAGGGCCATAGACTTACTCTTCACAACTCGGACACAATTGCTGGAAGGTAAGTACTCCACAGACTGGGCTTCCAAACGATGACAAGGCAAACTCATGAGTTTTTGTGCGCTAACCTAAGGCTCCGACAAGCTCCGTAACTCTTCTTGAAAGCGTTAACAACCTCCTTCAATGGTCCAAGTCCAGCATCCCTAGTGTGCTGTTGACAGTCACCGCTGGTCCTGCCTCCATGCTGGGGCTGCATGGCATCAAGGGCACGCTCGACGTCGGAGCTGATGCCGACTTTGTCATTCTTTCAGAGCGAGAGACTACCGAAGGCAAGGCACTTGTTATAGACGAAGTGTGGAAATTTGGGAAAAGAATGTACCAAAAAGCTCACAATAGCAGTGGAAATGATATATGAAGTCGAAACTTCAGCCGGAAAGCGAAATTGCTAGGCTTGCAAGAGGAGAGCGGTTTACATTGCAACTAGCCTCAGCTTAGTAAATGTATCCACAATTGGCTCAGCGAAGGGCAACAATAGTCGCTGCTATCATTGCCTTAAACATAGACCGCAATTGTTCCGTCACAATAGTTCACTTTATAGTGTAGCTGAAAATGAACAAGAGTTGCAAAATTATGGTTGGCGTTGAGCCTACTGACTTGGCGTCGTATTCGTTTAGCCCGACAGGCTTAGGCAGTATTCCTAGACGGACCCTCTGTCATAGTTTGTGATGATTGGCTATAGTCAAGCAACTTCCACATCGTTTCTGCATCGGGATGTGCCGGAAGATTGGCAAACATAACTGGGTTTATCATCGCTGATGTAGCTGCAGCATCGGGATTGAAGCTCTGGAGCTTTTCTGCCTAAAGTAATAATACAATACTGATGGTCAAGACTGGAAAATGTGCGGGGACTGCGTCAGAGAATCTTACCAGACGAGGGAAGTGCTGCCAACGAACTGGGGCACTTGTAAGAAAGTCTAAAGTCGATTTATAGAGACTCTGCGAAGATTCTCTCACTGCTGCATCATCATCATGCTCGAAAATCCGATGAACAACGCCTGCCACGACAGCACAGTAGCCCAAGGAGCTTGCCAAGCATAAACGGCGGCTTTGTAGGCTCCTCAGTAGGCGAGTCATCCTTGATGCGTTCTCGCGACTGGCTGAGAGAAGATTCCGAAGGAAACTTGGTGGTATCGGAGACTTGGAAGATTGTAGCCGATGGCGCATCAGGAAAGGGTGCTGGAGTAAACAGTTGGACAGGAAATAGAGAGCGTGAGAGAAACAGAAGATGCCAAGCATAGAATTGTGATTCAGCTCTCCCGCCATTTTGGAACTCTCCGTCTCTAGTACAGTATCAAAATCCGCAATGGCGGTCGGTGAGTAGGATTCGCATGTTAGAAGGACATTGTATATGGAAGCAAACTCGCTTCGCGAATTCCATGGCACTGGCGACTCTTCCGATACGGGCCGGCGCAGACAATATCGCTGAACTTGGCCCAGCGTCGATGCCACTAAGCAAAGGAATCCGGAGTAACCCACTTTGCCCAGTTCTTCTGGGTGGTCTAGCAGTCGCATCACAGTGATTCGCTCCGCCCTGACCAAGCCAGGCGCGAGTGTTGCCTGGTCCACAGGGAGACTCAACATGCAATCTGCATCGAGGATTGATGGCGACCGTCCTGGGCTGTTGGATACTAGTCGATCTAACAGGTACACGGACCAAAATGTGCGACGCCGCTCCTCTTTGGTCCACCAGAGAAGAGACGAACTGGGTTCAGAAAGTAGTTCCAGAGCCTGAGCCAACCGAATGGATAGGCCGACTTTAATCCACGCTTGTAAGTTGCTGCCGGCTGTTTTTTTTTTTTGAAAAAGCAAAGTCAGAAACGAGAAGAAAACTCAACATAGTCGAGTGAAACTGCTATAACTCACCGGCAAAGTCAACGACTGCAAGCATGCAGATTGCTTGTACGACTTGTACTGTCACAAATTCATCTTCCTCGAATACTCGAGGATTTATTATTTTCCATGAACATGATGCGTACCGAATGCTGGCTTCCGCTTGCCTGTCTTGAAAAAAGGGATGGTCAGAAAACAAGACAGCGCTAGCAAGAATGCTAAGCAATAGCCAGTCGGGTATAGTGTTGCCGGAGAGCCTGCGCCTGAAGCTAGACTCTTGGAAATAGCAATACGGCTGGCAATGACAGAATTGGAAATATGTGTCGATCAATGATTGCACTATCTCTGTCTCGGGGATGCGATCAAATACATCCGAGGCTTGTTCAAAGGATGGCGAGAGTGAAAACGAGACATCGTGGATACCCGGAGTATCCTGCAGACGAGAAGATATGTTCGGATTTGAAAGGAAAGAGGATAAGTGGCTGGGTAGAATTAGTTACAAGGCTTCAACTTCGGTATACTGCACTAACTCTTGGGTATGGAACACACTCCGTGGCTCAGGGCTAGCCAGGTTTTCAACCATGAGAAAATCCTGCCAAAGTTAGCAGGCACCAAACTCGACAGTCGACCCGTCTATTTCATGAAGCCAATATTCTCACAGATATATTGGGTATAGAGGAAGCAGCATCAAAAGTTGCGTCATTATCGGACAGAGCTTCATCATCGTAGCGACATTCCTGGCTTAATCTGGAGCAAAAGCTACAAACTGGCCGCTCACCGGGACATCGTGCCTTTTTTCGCCTAGGTACATTAGTTCCAGATGATAGGGGGACTAAAATAAACAGAAACAGAGTGAAGCACCTGCAGTTAAGACAGGCCAAGCGAATGCGCTTAGCTTGCTGTTGATCCATATGCCCTTCTGTTTGAAGCCGTCTGCTGCGCCGTAGCTGACTCACTGGTAATCCCCGATAATGAATCGCGTTGACTTCTGGAGTATAGATGCTTTTGCGTTTCCTCACAATAGAAGTGAGACTGTATTTTGCGAGTCTTGTCACTGGCGTAATATATATTGTTGTGTCACAATGATGTCAGGAAGGCAAACTTGTTTCTCTAGTGAAAGGAGATGGCTTGTTGTTACTTGGATGGCCAGCTCCATATTTTACCTTGCTACTTCGAACTGTGTGGGCCCGGCCACTATGGCAGCCTATAGGTGAGTTGTGGCCAAAACCCGATTTGCATTCCTATATCGAGGTTAACACTCTAAGCACACGCCGACAGCGTACATAAGGGTACTTAGTACAGTCATAATTAGAAGGTCAACCAGCTAATCAGAGTAGATTTTTTTAACTAGAAGGTAGCTAGTCAGCCAGAAGGTCAACTAAGCAGTCAGCCAGTCAGTCAACCAGAAGGTCAACCAGCCAGCCAATTAGTTTTATTAGTATAGGCTTAGCTTATAGTCTAGTTCTACTAAGTGCACCCTAATTATTTACCTACTAGACTATAGGAAGTTCTACTTATAGGTTTATAATAAACTAAATAATAATATAACTACTAAAAGATACTATACCTCTAGTAATACTACCCTAACCCTATATGGCTAGTAGATAGGTTTATTTAAAGCCTAAAAGCCACTTTAATCTATAATATCTTATTCTAGCGCTAATTAAGCCTAAATGCATCTATTTTACTAGAGCTACTAGCTATAATAGTAAGCTTATATTATAACCGCCTTAGTACTTAATAGCTATAGTGTCTTATACTTAGTGTTAGCTAGTCTAGATAGCTATTATATACACTTTAGTCTATATTACTAATAGTTCCTAAGTTTATAATCTATAGAATATCTTTATATTTAGATTAGTTATTTATAATCCTAGACTTAAGAATAAATAAGATATTATATAGTAGTATAGTATTAATATATCTAAGTATAATAGTAGCTATAATAAATAGACTAGCTATTAGTAGGAGTTTTATAAATATATGTCTAAAGGTAGCTTTATTACTATAGTAACTATACAACTAAGCGTTTTATTAGCTATAGTATAGAGTACTAAGTAAAATATAGTTAGTAACTATATTACCTTTACTCCCTAATAGTAGTATATTAGCTTAGTAGTATTTATATAGACTATTACTATATAGTTTTAGTACTAGTACTAAAGTATAAGAGTTAAGACTAAATAGATACTAATTATTCTAAAAGATAGTTATATACACTTAGTAATATTATTATACTTTTTAAATAATATTTTAAATAAGTAGTTTAAGATTCTATAACTTATTATTACTAATATAATCTTACTAAGAGTATAACTTACTTACTCTACTAGACATTAAGTAGAATTATAATAATATAATTTCTATATTACTAATAAAGAAACTTAGTTATATAAATATACTATTAGGTTTATAATATAAAATAGTCTATTCTTCTATAATAACTTTTATACTAAGGTAGTATAGAGAAGTAAGATTATTAAGAGTATAAATTTAATATTAAATTATAATAATAATCTTTTAAGTCTAGAACTTAATTCTTATTTATAAACTCCTTATTATTATATTTAGTTATAAGAATAAAAGAAAGTATTAATAAATTATAAAATTTAGTTTATTATTCTATAATATTTAAAAAATAATATTACTTTAAGGATTCTTTAAATAATAGATTAAAATTTAATACTTAATATTCTTATTTTTTATTTTAATATACTAGTTTAACCTTTTTATACTTATATATTTTTAACTCTTTTTTAAACTATAAAATATTATTTATTAAATTTATAGGTTATTTATTTAAAATAATAACTATACTATTACTATTTATATTATATTTCTATAATTAAGAGATAGGTTAAAAAGTTTTTCTAACTCTATAGTAAAGTTCTATAAGTAGGCTAATAGAAAGTTTACTTAAGTGTTTCTAGAATAGTTTTAGTTTAAAGAGACTATCTTTACTTTTAAACGCCTCTTAAGAATAAAAGTTATTATTCTAGAGTAGTAGTCTAATATTACTTAGTTTAATATTTATTTTTAATTAACTTCCTATAAAGTATTAGTTAACACTCTTATAGACTTTATCTATTATAACTAGTACTTAGATACTTAACTAACTTTAATCTAGAGTAGACTCTCTACTTAGTGTACTTAATATTATTTATTTTTATTATAATATACTTTATTAGAACTATAGTAAAGGTGATTTAAAGAGTATAAATTATATACTAATTTAAATATCTATATACTATTAGAATACATTTTTTATTTTAGTAATATAGTTATATATTTAAGCTATTCTAGTATAACTAGCCTTAAATAAGCCCTAACTATCTTTATAGCTAATTATTATAATTTTTAGGGGGTATTATACTAATATTCTAAGCACTTATACTCTAGTAGCTAGTTAATATAATAATCCTATATATTTATAATATAATACTCCTCCCCTAGTAGTCTTATCCTTAAGGCTATTAACGTAGGCCGCCTAGGTAGTAGGTGGTTTCTTCCCTCCTACATTATTAT